CACGACCTTCCTGAACAAGCCATTGGTTGTGGCTTGCTCCCAGCTTCTCCTCTCCTGAAGGCTGCCCTTGTTTGAGCAGGAAGCAGGCTGGGGGCCAAGGAAACTATTCCCAGCCCACAGACTGTTCCATGCCCCTCAGTCCCAAAGCCCCTCAGATAAAGGCAGCTGCATTTGGGTGTTACGATTCCGGAATGGAAGGAATTGCAACCCCCTGGGTGCAGGTTTGCTCGTTGGCAGTGGCTCATTCAAGGCCACTCAATGAGGAGACCAGGAGGTTGCACAAGGGAAGAGGTGCCACCTGCCCACATGGTAGGGGGAGGACAGCAGGACCCTCAAACAGCTCCACAAAGGGACATTATACCAGTGCCCTCCAGTATCGCGTGCGTGAGGAACTGGCACTAGAGACAGAAATTAAAATAGCTGCAAGTCTTTGTGCTGCAATCCCATCCTGTACTCACAGTAAGCCTATTATTTATGTTTCAAGCCATGGTAAGTATTTATATTACTTCCATGTCAGTCTGACTTGGCTCACCAGACAAGTGCTGGTCCAGCACAACCACCTGACAGGCACTGGGCTGAGCTCACACATCCTCTGCTACTGGAGTCTGGACAAACTCATGTCAGCATTAGAAATTCTCCATTTCACCTTCTACTTGACTGTGCAAGGCTCAACTACCAGAAAGCATTTCACCTCCAGAAAATTACTGCAAGATGATGATTTACCTGTCAAAGCTTCTTTGCTAACTGTTTTTATTTGTAGCAGAATTTCTTCTTTCAGGGCAGCCCAGCTCTCTAGATTACTGGAGATGACTTCCTTAATGCCATCTAGTTCACTTCTAATGAAAGGAAACAGTGAGATAGCCTTGTTCAGAGTTGAGCAATGGTGTTCCAAAGCATTTCTGCAAAACATAAAAATAGTACCAGACATACCACAAAAGACTATTTGTGAACTTGGTAACTGAAGTAAATTTCACAGCTACCTTTCTGTTGGACCATAGTTTATAGCATACTGGGTTACAGTCACTCAGCATATGAACTATGTTGCACATTGAATAGATTTATATTTCCCCCTTCTAAACATTGATGTAACATTCCTATGCAGGAATTAAGAAAGCTGTACAGGCAACTGCCCCACCCCTTCCTACTGAGAAATCGGAGCAATAATATTTTAAGTAATTAAGTCCAAGCTTATGCTGACTCTTAATAATAAGCAACACATGCTGTACTTCTGCTGCATTAAAAGGGGTGCACACTTACTGTTCAGTGTTAATTAATGATTTTCAACTTGTGAAGAACTTAGCCTGTTGCCAATAACACCAGCAATGACATTTTTTGTTTACGTTTGCTACGTCCACAGCATCTCACCCCACACCAGGATGGTTCCAAACACTCTTGTCCCTCAATGTGCTCCCTGCCTGCTCCTCCACCTCCCCAGAACCCTCTCAGCTGACTGCACTGCTCACTGGCCTCTCTTTCTGGGTTCTTACCTGAGCACTTGGGATTGCTTGGAGGCAGCTTCCTTCTCCTCTTGAAAATACCGCAAATCCTCTTTCATATTTTTTAATTCATCCTGCCTGTTCTTCAGCTCCACTGTTAGGTTTTTTATTCTACAGATGCAAATAGAAACTGTTATTTACATTAATATTCACTAACCAGCCTCTAACTTTTGTTTTAATTTAGCTTTAAAGACCCACTGAAAGTCTTCTCCAAGGTGATCACCATGTTTCAGACGGAAGCATCGGATCTTCCAACGGAGTCTGGCCCCTGTACCAGCCATTTTAGCAGCTCCTTCTAAATAATACTCACATTTGTGAAGTCAGGTGGAGATGTATGTGTCCAATATCACATCATGTACGTGCCCAGTAGGGCATCATTTATATGTGATGCTACATAAATACCTTAAGAGCCCAGTGTTCATTCGCAGATGCAACACAGAACCCCTTCATCCTCCACAGGACACGTGTCACCAGGAAAGTGCCCATCTGGAGCCCAGCTTTGGTGCTGCAGCCCCAAAACTGGGAGGTGGGTGCCCTCTCCCAGCACCCAGTGCCAGGGGGTGTTGGGGAAGGCTCCAGGGGAGCTCACCCAGGCTGCAGGGGAAAGTCTCTACAGCCAGCCAGCACCAAATCCTAAATACTTGATTTCTCTTTCCATCCTATTTTCCATTCAGGTTGTTTATCTATTTATTAATTTCAGACATTTGCAGAAGCTAAGTCCAAATTAGTCACTGGTTTCCCTTTGCCCTCAGTCTCACACCCATGATCAGGGAACTGCACCTCTGCACTGCTGAATTAATTAATGGTGCTCAGCAAGTAATAATGTAAAAATAGGCAAGTAAAATATATTCCTGTCTGTTCTTTTTACACCAACTGGAATCTAGGCCTCTGCTCCTTGACAATGGCATTTTAAAGAGCTAAGGAGAAACTTCTCACAAAATATGTTTCCACCAGATGTTACTTCTCTGCACTCAGGCAAGGACATGAGCATCAAAACGATCACAAATGTCAAGTTAGTAAGATTATTTTCCTACATCTCTCTTCAGGAGAGGGCAGGAAGTTCTGCACAAGGTTTCCATGTTCCCAGCTTGACCCACAACACACCAGAGCAAACACACATTTATTTTCTGTACTTCCTCCCTTTCAGAAAATAACCCACCCCAGAGGTTCTGGGCCCAGAAGGCTGCTGGCCACAGGATGGGGTGGGAGGGATGTGATTGGTGGCTCCACCTGACAAACTCTGGCTGGGTGCTGGGTTGTCCTGGGGTTCTCTCCCTCTCCTGTCACCCCTGGGGACCCCTGCAAGCACCCATCCTAGCACCCTCTAAGTATTTGCCTGCAAGAGATGTTTCCATGCCTCCTCCTCCTCCTGCCCCAAGGGGAGGCACCTGAGGGGTTTTTACCTTACAGGGGGGGTGACACCTTCCAGCTTTTCCTGCAAACCTGACACCAACAAAGATCCTAAACCTGGGAAAGAAAAGCTCCCTGTTATCAGGACTCATTAATATATTTTACACCCTCCCCCTCATTAAAAACAACAATTAACTTTTATCACTTCTGTGCTCCAGGTTTGCTTGTTTAAATGACTGACAAGGCACAGGAGAACCCAGCCAGGATTTCTTTTAGCTACCCAGGGGGCAGGGTGGCCTGGGAAGGGCTGGGTGCTCTCCCTCACTGCCCAGTTGCCCAGGCTGGTCCCCTGACTGGGGGCCAGGAGCCCCTGAGTGCTCAGGCTTCACCAAGCCAGGCAGGACCTGCTGCTTCCCTCAGCAAGAGTGCTGAAAAAAGGAAGATTTATTTTAGGCAAATTCAACCTTTTCCATAGTATGAAGTTTTGCCATTTTGGCAGGAACTAATGAACTTGAGAGAACACACACACACAAAAAGCTCAAATATGGAAAAACACAGTTTCCACAAGTTAAATTTGTTACATCTATGTTATCTTGAAGATTTTACTGTTTGTGGAAAAAAATTTCAACATCTACATGCATGAATCAGGAGTACAAGGCTGATGGCAGGAACCAACAAGGAACTTCTGCTATTGGTGAAAAGGTTTTCAGGAACCCATTCACAAGGGATGTCTGACCCAGGACTCACCAAGTGAGATCCATCCACCTCTTCACGTGCCTCAGCTCCAGAGACACTGGTTGCTCCCTGTCACACTCATGACACTCAGCACCACTGTGCCTTTAAAAAGCAAGTTTATTATTTAAATCCGTTTTACATTTCTTAGATTGGATGTTGCAAGAGTTCTCCAAATCCATACCATGCACAGTGTCCCAAATCTCAAAGGATGCTGTCAGGGAAGGTCTGTTAACAAACACAGGGCCTTGTAGAAGAGCCCAACGTGCCCCAGCTGTACAGCCCATCAGGACCAGCTCTCACCCTGGGATTAAAGCAATTTTACCATGGAATGAGACCTGGATAGCTCCATGGAATCAGTGTAGCTCCCTGCATGATGGATAGTTCATCTGACAAACTCCCAAGGGGCAGGTAGGTCATTTCTGCAACAGCCCAGGTAGCTTTCAGGGTTAACCACAGGTACAAACAAAAGCAACACTTTGACCTAAAAGGAATATAAAAATAAAACAGCCTGCAATTTAAAAGCTAGATTAAATCTCTTGGTTTCCCAGAGATTAAAAAAAGAGCCACATTTGGCTTCTGATAAACATTTGCAGTTGGGGAAGAATCCTCTGTCAACCTTGCAGGAAGCAGAAGGTAGGATGTTGAATAGTGAGTTTATGCCAATGGCACAAGGTAACAGGAGAGGCCCAGGATAGCAAAAAGGAGATAAGGAATATTTAGACATGTTACTTAATGAGGCACAATAGTTGATTTATGGCCTGAATGAAAGCCTGCTAAAAGTATCCCACTTGATTTCAACAGGTCTTAAATTAAGTTCAGCCCTAGGGAGAAAAAAGGCAGAGCTACAATTTTTATGAACAGTTTCAGCTGTGCTACAACAAGTCAAATGAATGGAAATCTCAGGTTTACCTCTGGCAAATGATGCTCAGCAAGAAGGATGTGCTGTCACTGCATTTGCTAACAGACTGAGTACAGCCACCAGAACTGCCACCCAGAGCTGCTCAAGGAACAAGGGGCAAACCCCTTCTTCAAAAAAATATGAAGTTAAACCAAAGAAAACATGAAATACTGAGGAGAATTTCAGTTCAAATGAAAAAAAAAATAAATTGCAAGAAGCAGCCCAAGTAGAATGGTCTACAAGATGTATCAATTTTGTTCAACTTTGAGTGAACTTGTGTGTTTCTAAATGAATCTTTTATTAGTAATATTACCAAAAGCAAGCCTCACTGAATCCATGAATAGTAATGCTCCATTCTTAACAATTGTGTTGCCAAAGCATTCCAGTCCAGCCCCTTGGGTACACCTTAATACTCCAGATGTCCCATGTCATCAGTTCTAGATCACTTGCTCCTAGCTATGAGTCAGTCATGCAAGAAACACCCCGACTGGGGGGCTCCAAATCAACATGACTGAACTGATAATGAAAGTCATCATCCCATTCTTACAAAAAGCTTCTGACAAACTGTTTGATTCAGATGAGCAAGAAATTACCATGATGCCTTTGTTTGTACCACGGTTTCCTATCAGTAGTCAACTTTGGCAACTGCATTTTTATAAGGTTATCTCTTATTGGCCAGCTATACATTTCAATGCTTATAGTCCTACTGTAAACAATTTGTGGAATATAACAATAGATTCAAAAATATGAGGAGAGAAAACTCCTCATATAGGAAGCCCAAAAGTAGCACTGAGCATCCATGGTAAATCTGATACGATGAGTAGAAGACAAAAGGGGTAAAAAGGAAGGGCAGTTCTCAGAGCCTCAGGTCTGGATGAGGCCCAAAACCTTGTATTTCTTTCACAGAACAGTGCAGAAAAGACCCAATTTGTTATTATGAAATCTGTGATATCCTCATGGTCTTGTAAAACAGCATAAAAGCAACAGAAGGTGAATTAGGAACCAGAAATATCAGTCCAAAAACCCTACAGCGAAAACAGTACAAAAAACCCCACCCATAATGCTAATTATATCAGAACACATTCACATTGACTGCAGCAACTTCCCTCTCAGCCCAAGCTCTTTATCTGTGATTCACAGCTAGTTTGGGTGCAGCTCCCTTTGCAGCCCAAAGAATGGGAAAAATATTAGAAAGTATAAATGAAGGGCAGAGGGGAAAAAAATATCTTTGAAACTCTCTTGTTATGCTTTATTTTTCACATGTCTATCCCAAAGGGAACTTTTCTATCTGAGGCACCAATCTGGAGCCTTGTTGTCTGCTCATCAAAGTCTTAGGGAAGTATGGCCACCACGATGTGGTGAAGAAGAACACAACAAAAGCCAGTAAGTGTGAGATAAAAGAGAAACACTTCAAGGTTTCAATAACTGTGCTCTAACCCAGAGCTCCTTAGATGTATCTGTATGGATACAAGGATGATGAAGGGACTGGAACATCTGTCTGATGAGGAAAGGCTGAGAGACCTGGGGCTGTTGAGTCTGGAGAAGAAAAGGCTGAGAGGGGATCTTATTGATGTCTATAAATATCTGAGGGGTGGGTGTCAAGAGCAAGGGGCCAGTCTCTTTTCAGTGGTGCCCTGAGATAGGACATGTTGGTGATTCTGTATCATGTCACTATGAGACAAGAAGTTAAAACTTCAGAACTGTGAAACTCCTGATACTGTGGAATTCCATTTAAAATATTAGCATTTTATTACAAAATTATAGGGTGAAGTCTTGGCTCATTTCCCCCTGGGGGGTTGTGCTGGAGAGGTAACTCTGAAATGCCTCACGGGCTTTCATCCACTTTAAATATATTGACTGTTTGTAAACTACAAAGGAATTTAAAACTTGCTTCCAGAGAATACTATAAAATATCATTTAAGTATTACAATATATATGTTACACCTGATAAAAGACAGACCAATCTGATTTGTATTTGAAACTTCTTTGGAATTGAACTACCCAATATACACCCACGAGACTAACATCAGACTAGATTATATGCTCTGACCTTTCTGTTTTGGATTCACTGTCAGCTCGATAGTGTTCCAGGTCTTGGTAAAGAGACTGCAACTCTGCTTGAAGTCCTTTTTCCCGTTCTATGCTTCCTTCATAAAATTTAAGCTCCTTTTCCATTGCTTTTACTTTTTCTTCCATCACCTTAAACTCATGAAGAATCAAGTAGCTGACTCCACAGTATTTGCACACTGTCTCATCCCGGGACATCTAGGAAAAGATAAAATGGTAGGATTGTAAGGAAGGAGTTGAACAGAAAAAAACTGTATCATCATCATCATCATTATTATTATTACTATTATTATTGTTACTGTTATTGTTGTTATTATTATTATTAAATCTGAACCATTTACACCGTTCACTGCTCTGGACCATTTACCATCAGAGGATGTTACTGCCTTAACAAATAATAAAAAGAAAATTCTACATTAACAAAATTAAATCAAGTTACAGCAGCACTTTTGTTTCCTGGAAGCTTCACCAGATACATCAGCTATGCCATTTGCTATGTGGGAACTCCCGTGGGAATTCTAAACTGAAGTACCTCTGTTTGATGTATTCATTTAGAATAAAATGCTGCGTTTTACCAAGTTATCTCCTTAATGAAATTGTGGTCGCCTGAGCCAGAAAAAAAATGTTATTTACTGTGGTTTTTTTGACAACTCCTATCCAATGAAGTGAGCCAGATGAAAAGGGGCAAGTGAATAGTGATGTAACCCAGCCATCTTTGCAAAAATCATTCAAATGAGTAAGGGGCTGCTGCTGCTGATGTAGTGTCTGTGACACTTGAGTGCTGTGGAAAATGTGACCCATTCACTAGGCCTGAAGTAGTCATCACTGATTAAAAAAATACAGAGTAAGTAACACACATCTAATTGAAAGGCCATTTCTTAGATGGAGACACATACCTCTGCAAGTGATCAAATTAGGCTTTGCAGTGAGCAAGGCTGCACAGACATGAGCAGATGGATGTGCTCTGACTTTGAGACGCTCTTACTGCTCAGTGACTGCTCAGTGCATCAGTGACTCTCGTGTATTTTAATCATTTTCATTTCCAGGGAAAATTGCTCAGCTTTTAAGTGGTGCAGAACTGAACGTGCACCAGAAATGGACATTGAATTAAGAAACCAGCCAGGCCAAGCCAAGAAGGTCTGACATTTAGTGAGGGACATTTTGAGGCATTGGGATAAATGGAAAGAAATCATACATTGATGAAAGAAAACAGCTTTCAGAAATGACAAACTGAAGACCCATTATTCCATGACTCAATAAGCTTTAGCACTTTAAATATAGCTTGATAAAAATGACATTTCAGGACGCCCTGGAATTACCAAGCCAAGCTTTATTTTCCCATTTCTTAGTTTTGCCCCAGTTTAAAATGCCCTTAGTTACAGTTGCTCTGAGTGCGCTGAAAAGGCAAGTTTATTTTTCCTGGCAGCTGCAAACTGTGCTTGGAAATATGAAACTGTTATTCAGGATAACTACCATAAAGTTCCAAAGCACTAAAATTACTATATTGAAAAAGGACAAAACGAGCTGTTATAAGGAGCACAGGAGGGGGCTGGTGTCCCCACAAGAACACTGTGCTCTCCTGCAGCACCACCGCTGCCTCCCAAACAAACACTGCCAGAAACTTCACCCGCTGCCTGAATTAAAAACAAAACAAAACAATTGGGGTCCTGAGCAGAAAATGGTTTATGCAAGTACCACAACGTTTTCGTTTTCAATTTCCATTTTGTTGCTGAACTTAAAAATAAACACAGGACAATAAAGATTATCCAGCTGGGCTGAGAGGGAAATGAGTCCTGTTCATATTCATGTTTATTCCTGAGGTGAAGGAAAAACCTGAAAGGACCAACTTGGATTTTTAAAGCATTTGCTACGTAGTTTAAAAAAAATTTAAAAAATAAAATCCCAGGAAAGACCAAGGGCTTTATAATCTGACTGCATAAGGAAGGAAAGTCCTGCCTGTTAATCAGCACTTTGCTTCTGTAAATGCAGTTACCCTGCAGTCATGTCTGTGGGCTGAACTAGCTTCAAATCTCAATCTGTAGTAAAACCAGCAGCTCCCTTACTTTAGCAGGGGCTGAGTGATGCCCAGCCAGCCCCACTGAACTCCAGCTGCAGCAGAGGAACACCAAGAACCAAGATAACTGGTTTAAATCCAGCAGGTCCATGCCCAGTATGCCTAGAAAATTAGCAGGACCCAGAGAAAAGGAACAGCTCCAAAGAGCAGGGCCTGAAGCAGGCAGGGCGAGGGGTCTGCTAATGCAAATCCTCATCCCAAATCCAAGATTCCACTTTCATGTCCACGGTGGTCAAAACACAAGTAGGACTTTGTCTTTTTGTCTTTTTTTTTTTTTTCCCCCTTTATTTTCTTCCCCACCCCCTCCCCCCACCCTCTTGCATTGTCAACATCACAACCCAAGTTCTCCTCAGTGATACTTAAAACACCTCCTGAAATTCCGGAGCTGGTTGGACATTTTTTAGAAGCTCCTGCAGCTTCGTGCAGACAGGTACAGGGAGCTGTTGTCAAGCTGCAGATGCTGATTTCATCCAGCCAAAATCATGACAAAGCTATCTCAGGGCTACGGCAATTTAAAGGTCAGAGCCAGAAAGCATTTTATAGCTTTGAAGACAATTTGAGTTTTGCACAGTTTCCAAGAGAAACAACATTATTTCATCTGTGTGTGGGTTTCCCTGTTGGCACCCTTTGGTGGTTTGTGAACCAGAATGCTTGGTCATTTACAGCCAACTCTTGACACTGAAGGCAGAAACATTTACATGTTTAAAAGTTTTAGAAAACCAAGTAGACAACAAAGGCTTCCCAAGTTTACTGCTGAAGAAAACGCTGGAATGTGAGCGGAGTCCTTAGCAGATAATCCATACAGGGGAGAGCCTTATAAATGGTCTGTCCAGGGGAAAAGATCCCATCAGACCTTGTACCTTAGGCACCAAAGTTCAATCACTACACAAAAGTCTGTAGGAAGCAAATTTTCACAAGTTGTTCTGCTTTCAGAGCTTCCTTTTCTGGAGTCAGGTCACCACTGAGTAACCACCAAGGATGCATCACATACACAGTGATTTATGTTTTCAGATTCCATATTTCACTATCTACATATGATGAAAGGACTGGTACCTGCTCAAATGTAAAGCAGTAAAAAAAAAACAAACCAACAAAACCAAGAAACAACCAGGGGCTCCAGCTGACTCTGGAAGGAACTGGAAAGAAAACTATGAGAGCTCTGACTAGAAAGTGGACTGGGTATGTGCTCAGCAGTGAATTGGAGAAAAATCAATCAGGAATTAGAAAAACAAAACCAAAATAAAACAGAAAAAAAACCCTAAACAGAATATAATGTTAGTACTGTGATTTTGGTCAGCCTGGACAGGGAAACTCATGGCAAACAGGACTGGAAAAGGCATCAGAGGGATACTAAAGCCCAGCCCTTGGCACAACAGGACTGCACAAGTGGTAACAACATCAAAAGGCAAAGTCACTGAGGACACAGGGCTTGAGCTTGGGAGACACTGGACCCAACAGGTTTGGAGCTGCAGTTCTGATTCACTTTATACCAGATGCTCCAAAGGCCCAGAGCTCTGCCCTGAGAGAGCAGATTGCAAGGCCTCCTTTCTAGCTCTGATATTCCAGTGGCTGTGGGAGGAGCTGCAACCCCAAGCTAGGAAGAACTAGGGTCATTCCATGGCTACACAGATTTCTGCAGGTACCAAGGGCCAGTGGAGAGCTGAGCCAGGATGGATAGTCACTTAAATTCCATCAGTCTGACTCAGTACTGCAAGCATCTCTAGAGCACAAGTTGTAAGGGAAAGAAGAAAAATGTCTTTGGTGGCCTGGACCATTTTTAGCCTCTTGAATGACAAGACAGGAATTTATGTCATTTCATCTTGAGCAAATAGCTACAGGGAGCATCAGCTTGTGCACTGCTCTTCTGCTCCTCTGAAGCAGCAAATTCTACCCACAAAAATCACCATGATAAAGAGCTAAATTCCCCTTGTAAGACAAACTCAGCAGTGCCTTGTTATTACAACATCCAGCATATGGATGACTTATGCTAGAAAGACTATGTTACAAGCAGCTAATAAATAGCTGTGACTTTTAAAAGCCAGAACTCAACTCCTTAATTAACGAGATTCTTTAAAAAGCTTTGAATAGGTTTCTGTGAAACACAAACATGGAGCCACGAGCACAGACATACTCCTTGCACATTGATTTTACAGTGCAGGGGAGGGAGAGCCTAAGGGACCTGCAGCTCTTCCCATCCTCCTTCCACCACCCAGTGCTGCTCAGGCACGTAACTCAGCAGTAACAGAACAACACAGGAAACTCAAGCAAAAAAAAGTATTCTCATGCTGCAGCTGGGTGCTCCTGAATGACTTCTGCATATTGATTTTTTTTACCTCTGCTTGATTCTACCTTATCCAAATCTACTTCCTTTTTCCTGCTCTGCCATCGTGCTGCTTTGGTTTCTCTCGTGCTGCCTGTCCCTCTCCTGACAGACCAGCCAAGTACTTTCACACACAAAAATAAGCAATTACTCAGGCCACACAACTGATACTCTGGGAAGAAGGTGGAGTCTCCTGCTCTACGTGGAAAACTGAAGAGATTATTTTAAATTATCTTTTATTATTATTCAAAGAAAAAATTTTAAGAGTCTCAGTAGAAACTTGTTCAAAAGAAGTGACTTGTGAGTCAAGTTTCCAGTCAGCATCTCGTTCTAAAGTCATACAGGCTGCAATGCTAAGTCATGCTGCATCCATAAATATTTGCTCAACTTCCATAAAATAGCAGCTGCAAAATAAAAACCACAGGACCTGCTTTGAACACATAGGAAGAGCACAGCAAGGGGCTGGCAGTGCAAACAGAACGGCCTGCTCCCCAGAGCTTATTCAAAACATGCCCCCAAACAATCTGTTTGTCACGGCAGGAAATAATACTTGGATTTCAGGTAGCTCTCATTTTTTCCTGTGAGTAAAACTGACTAACAAACCATAAATGAGTGTGTTGCACAGTCAGGAGCTGCACGCACCAACCTGCAAAGTCCCTCCATGCGCCCCACAGCCCCTCAGCCCTTCCTGGGGCTCCCAGCCCCTGCTGGGAGGCAGGACAGCACCCTCCAGCAGAGACTGAGCCCCAGGACAGCACAGGGAAAGGACAATGTCTGCACACACAGGTCAGTTAGCCCATTGTTAACCCCCTCTCTGCCTGACAACACTGAGGTCTGGCAGCTGCAGCTGGAAGGCCCTCCTCACTGCAACCCAGCTGGCTCCAACACAACAGGCACTGCAGTCCCTCCCATGCCTGGCACTGTGCTTGGATGCCAGGTGCAGAAAGGGTAGAGAAATGCCTGAATAAATGAATCCAGTCCTAACCTTATGGGAAAAGCTTGGATACAGGGAAGACAGCCCCAGCTCTGTGAGTACAGTGAGATCTTCAATCCTTTCCTGCCCTAGGTGACCACCAGTGACTCCAGAAGGCTCACACTGAGAACAGAAGAGGGTGAGCCAAGCTCAGAACATCTGCTTTCTCTGATACAGTAACACACATGGGTAACAAAGCCTGGGAGCTGGTTTTCCCAAATCAACCAACGTAACCAGTTCACTGCTGAGAGCTTTTCACCTCTTCAGGTGGTAACACAGGGGCTTCTACCCAAAATATCTGCTATTTTCTAACAGCCTTTCAGAACCCTCAGAGAGCCAGAGCTTGACATCCCAACCAAATGCAAATGCTAAAAATTCTTGAGCCAAGTATTGAAAATGTCAGTGGGCATGGGGGCAACTCGTGAACATCACGAGAACCACCTGAAAGGTACATGACAACAGACTTTGGAAAGACCTCCTGCTATTCTGCATGGGGATGTTCCCCTGTTCATCTGGAGAGCACAAAGGGAAACGCTGCTGCTCCTGAGTCCATGTTGGTATCAACATTGTAAGTACCAGATACACAGCCACGTTGTTCACTTCTCCAGAGCTGGGCCTGGTGGACAGGACAGCTTCTTGAGCTAATTAACACCACTGGAACGACGTCAGAACCCCTTAAAAAAAAATAACCTCGGGTTCCAAGACAGCAAGAAAAACAAAAGATAACAAAGTGCTCATAAAGATACCATAATGTGCTCAACTTAAAGCACACATGGCAAATCCAACGAGTAACCATTTGGTACTAGCAATGTACATGGTGTTTGGTGGAGAGCTGGATACCACAGGAACGTTCTGTTCTGATGGATAACACAGCTTCAGAGTTCCTGCTCTGCTTGCTTGCTTAAGCTCCTAGGGTGAGAGAACTACTCCCCTGCAAGGGTATCTTTTGCTCTATTAATTTTATGATCTATGTTAAGCAAAGGTTATTTATTTGCCAAATAAAATATAAAATTAAATACAACTTCTTGTTTGCTACTTTGAGGACTTGGGACATTTCAGTAAGATCTTCAGGGAAGAACTGGATCTTCCCACCCACCTACATGGACTGGACAATGCTAAAAGAAGCACAGAACTTCAGTAAGTTCACTAACCTATAAAAGATTTGTCTTCCACTAGCAGCAGACAGCTAACAAGGTACAACACAACCATCTTCTTTCTCTTAAGAGGACAAAAACCCAACCTAACAGCAAACTAACCCAAACAAAAAGAGAACTCCCCAAAAATAACACAACCATAGTGTTGGAGTAAAGGAATTAGTGTTGGAATAAAGAATCCCTTGTCAGCACAGCCACCCAGCCTCCAGCCAGCCCGCTCACACCAGCACCTAGCAGTGACTATTCTGCAGCTGGAATCTCCACGCTGAACACACTCCCTCCAGACACACATGGCTCCTCTGGCCAGCAAACTGCAGGCTGGGAGCATGTGCTCAGTTTGGCAGAGCAATCCACAGCTGCTGGCACAAGTTCTGCACACGTTGGGAGCAATCTAAAAGCAGGACTCCAAAAGAGATGCTGTAAAATCCAAGAAGGGGGAATGTGAGGGGCATGACAACTTGTGTACATCAAAGGTAGAAAATACAAGGACAGGAAATGGTGAGAATTACTTGTAATCAAGCTCTGCATCCACTGCAAGTACAATGCAAGTCAGCTGAATGAGGAGACAAGCAGCAGCAAAGGATATGTAAAACCCCAGCTCCTAACTGATCCCAGAGTCTTGGGCTGTCATTGCCTTAGAGCTCATGTATCTCCCACTGATGGGCAGGGTGGGATGGGACAGGAACATTCATGTAACTGTCTGGAGGTACTGGGCCTTCTGTACAGAGCTTCTTGTTTCCTCCTACCACAGAACTGCAAGGGATCTGCAGAGCTTTCCTGCCTAATCCTCCACTCCAAAGCACAAGTTTGCCTTGCTTGCCCTCCCAACCCCAGTGCCACTGGAGGAATTCCACAGCTCCTCTGGGTGAGCTGTCCCCTCAGCTCAACCACCCCTGCATCTGGAGTTTCATAGCATTTAACCAAAGCAAGTCCAGAAAGCTGAGGAGAAGACTCATTTGGAGCTGGAGCTGAAGGACAACCACCACCCTCCTACACATGTGAGTGCTGTTACTGTGCCTCCACATATTTTCTAGAGTAAGTCAAGCCAGTTTTATTACACTTTCCCAGAAAAGCAGGATTTTTAAGCTCTTTATTTTTGCCCTCTTCTAGATTCCCTTCAGTCACTTTATTTTTCTTACAGAACTGACACCTCAACAGCCCTGAACTGAGCAGCAACAAAGGCCCAAGTCTCATGTGCTATTCCTGTACTAATACAGTTAATGCTTTATTTCCTTGTAACATGAACATTGTTGATGTTATTCTGCTTAAAACTTCATTGTAGCCCTCAGTGTTAGGTCTGGCAAGTAACAAGGAAGCTTACTCAGTTGCTTTGCATTTTGCATCAATGCACTGAACTGACTCTTTTAAAATATGCCTTATTCTTACTAAAAATGTGAAGTTTAATGCTGTTCCCAGAGCACTCACAGCCCCTCCCAGAATGGCATCAGTGGATTGCTTATTGGAACCAAAGGCCCCAGCTCCAAGAAAAACAGCAAACACTGACACTCCAACTGAAAAAAATCATCTCACCCCCTCTCTGCTTTCTCACCCACACCTGCTTCCTCCTCCTGCCAGCATTTGGACCAGCAGCTGATCCAAATAAGGGACAGGCAGCTGAAGTGCCACCAAAGCACAGCCTTAAGTCATCAAAGGAAATATTCAGCAATGCTGTCTCCAGAACAATTCCCTGATGTACTTCATCCAACAACTGGGTACAGCTGTTTTTCTGAGAAACCTGCACTGGTTTTTGCCAGCCACTTTAACCTGCTGGTGTTTGCAAAATCATTCCTGAATAAACAAACGTATCTTTCCTGCTACCAAAACAGCTGCTAATGAGGTGGTGAATTTCCCAGGTTCTTCTCCTCTCCTTCTTTAAGGGCAAGCAGTCCTCTTCCCTTCTTTTGGCTATCTTACCCATCCTTGAATTCTCAGAAATCAGAAATTGTCTCAACAGTTTCCTGGACTATTCCAGGAAGAATTTCTCCGGGCTGTGTTAGTCTGAGTCCATAAAGCTTTTCAATTACTTGTTGATTATAAAATGCATACCAAAAACCTGAGGACAGCAGGGTGTTTTATTGCCGAAGTAATAACTTCACAGCGTTGCCAAAAGTGCCTCATGTTCCACTTGTGTGCACATGAGGAGCCTCCCCAGAAGTTAACCCCTATGAAGAGCAGCACTGTTAGAGTCTGTCTCCCAGACCCCAGCACAGCCTCACACGCAGCAGACCCAAAAGATGGAGGGGAATGTTCTGTTCCTGTTTGGATTGACACTCCTTTGGAACAATGCTCTGCTTTGCAGTCATTTCCAACTTAGGCCCAAAAAAACCCCATCACTGTATGGGACACAACCTGAAGCCCACCTGGGGGAGCAACACTTACAGAACGGGGATGTCCCTCTGCTGCGCTCCTATAGATCTGGCACCTGATTTACACTTCACCTCGAAGGACAAACCCTACAGGACACCCGACAGCCAGGACCCCAGCTCCCTACCTTCCGGATCCCCTCGGGCAGCGCGTGGAGGGGGACACGCCGCTCCATGGCCT